TTACTTACTTACTTACTTACTTACTTATTTATTTATTTATTTATTTATTTATTTATTTATTTATTTATTTATTACTTTTTTATATATTTAAATTAGAAGCAGTAGAAGACGTGCTCATACTTTTTGTTCATTAAATATAAGGTATCTATTCAACCATGTTTTTTTCTTTATAGTTGAGGCCCTGGCATATTCTCTGTCTTCATCACCAAGCAATACCAGACTAAACCAAGGGATAAGCGTAAGATAACTGGTATCAAAGGTACTCTTATTAATACCTGACTAGTGTCGCAACAACATTAACACATACAGCGTTACGTTCACATTTGTCTTGTAATATATAAAGAAAATATAAATATTATGGTATACTTGGGCGTTGGCTCTGAAAAGTGAAGCATTATATAATTACTTTAATAAAGTTAGTCTCTGCAAAAATATCTCAAGTCCATCAACATAGTTATCAAGCAGTTGAAACAAGCTGTTGAAACATGTAAAATGTAACTACCCATGCGCCATAGTAGCCTTAGTTTCAAGTGACTAACTTTATTGAAATGAGTATAACAGCAAGCCAAAAAGAGGTTTTATCTTCTGGGTCGTCTTCAAAACAGTAAAATAACTTTTGGCTGATATATTATCTTGTCTCTTTCTTTTAAGTTATATTTTTGAACTTGTATGCAGACCAAAAAATCGCAAGCCCACCATCCATCATTTACTCTGGAATCTTCTTTCCCAAGTATAATTATGGAAATTTGTTTCGGCATTTGTTATTTGTGTACCAAGATACATAAATATGTTTAAGAATCACAGGTAAAATTAGATGTTATTTACTATTATCTTCGAAGATCTGAAGCATAACGGACGCAAGGGTACTCGATCAGTCTTGCATGCATGACATTCTTCGCTATTACTGCTAATTTAAATTCAATTTTACATGTCAATCATGATATTGAAATTTATAAACAATGCATAATTTAGGCCCCGTCCACACGTATCCGCAAATTTTTGTACCCGCAATTTTTTTTTTACGGATACGGGTTGCGTCCACACGTGTCCGCAAATTTTTGTATCCGTATCCGCAAATTTTACGAAAACGGATACGTGTGGACAGTGAAAACGATTCGAATACGCTGCGTGTGGACGCGAACATTTTCGTATCCGCAAAAAAATTTGCGGATACAAAAATTTCCGGATACGTGTGGACGGGGCCTAACATATCAGTAAAATGTAAATGTAAACTTAATTTAGCTAGGGTGGCCCGTTGAGTTACGAGGCCGGTATCCAAAGGGGCCCTGCTTAAAATACAATAAAAATAATAAAGTAATACTAAGCTAATCCTAAGAGGTAATACTAGAAAGCTCAGCTACTATACTTCGTAAGACTTTACACGCAGACTAGTGTCAAGTGCCATCAAGTACTTGCATTAAGATGTGTCATTCGTGCATTTAAAGCCAACTCAACTTGAGTTGCGCAATCACTTTTCCTATTTGCTTTCGTTTCTTTAGGTAAATGTAAAGTTGATAAAAACAAATTTAAGGAGACTAAACGCTTGAATATTTTATTTTATTTTATTTTATTTCTTTTTTGTCACACAAGAAAACTCGCTTTTAAACTGTTTACTCGTTAAAATGGGTAGCATTTCCACACGTTGTTGCAGCCTAAAAAAATACGCATATTTTTGCATTTGTGCAAAGGAAAAGTGTTTTCTTTACTCAGATGCCTGTTGCTTGAAAAGTAGTTGTTCCCAGTCAGGAAAGTACGTCTCTTTCATGTGCTGCGCATGCTCCACCAGATTTGTGAGCTCCTTTGTTATCAGCATCCCTTGAGGAGATTCTGGCACTTCCCATATGAAAGGCCCCACGATACCAAAGATCACAGCATCTGTCAAACAAGGCTTGTCCCCAAACAGGAACTTCTTTTCTCCAAGATAAGCAGACACGGCTCTTAGATCACGTTCAGCTATTCCATAGAGTTCCTCTTCAGTGTGCCTGCCAATTCCATGCCCATGAAGGTATCCACGGATGGTTCTTTGAGTGAGTTTAAAGAGAACATATTTCATTGGCGTGGAATAGTCTTGAAACAGCCTTTCTCGTATCTTAACTGAATGATCTGTCAACCATAAATAGTAGGCCAATGTCCTAAAGAAAGTATAACTTATTAAATTTTACATATCCGATTTGATACTGACAAATGGGTAACTCACTGCAGTGAAACAGTTTCCCCAGGTTAGAATGAGGACACTCGAATCGTGAAAACTTTGAGGTGTTTTTGTTTTTGTTTTTGCTTTGTTTTTTTATCCTGCAGGTTAGTATTTTATAAACGTTCTACTGTTTCCAACCCTTTAAAATAAAGCATTGAGTTTAAATACTCCGAGTACATTAAAAAGTTAATCTTCCATCTAGTCGAGTGGCTTCAAAGAATTATTTACAGTATGCAAGTTATAAAGGGCCTATGTTCCCCGCAAGGAAACGAAGATGATTAAAGTTTATGATTTAAGCCAGTTTTTTTTTTTTTTTTTTTTTTTTTTTTTT